CAGTGATGCAGAGAGGAGAAAACGAATCGGTTAATGGTGTCGAGCATCAACTAATCGAGGTTTCTTGGTTTGATGGGGGTTAAAAACAGAGACGAAGGAAAGGTCAGAGCCCTGACCTTTACTGTGGTTGGTCGGGGAAAGGTTGGGCAGTTTCCAGAGCAGCCGGCGTTCATCGGCGTTCCTGCGGAGGCAGAAAAAAGTCAGTGAGGCCAAAAACACTCTGAACCTCCAACCTTTAAACATGTCTCGGGTTATCGACCTCAGCCAGCCTATTAAACATCTTTAATACAGAAGACAACGACGATAACCGTTAATCTGGACGGTGGATTTGGCGCCACCTGTGGCTGCAGGCTGTAAAAGCAAATGTGGTTTAATATCAAAGGTCACAGAAGTTAAACCAGCAGAGAAGGTGGCAGATGACTGCACGCTGACGCTTTTGAGCCACTTTATCAGATTCTCTGCTGCTGTCTGCAAACAGCCTGAACAGTGAGACTCTTGGTAATTTTACTGAGAGGATTACATTTTATTTATGTAATGAACACATTTTGAGCTCTTAAAGAAATAACCAAAGGAAAGACGCCCAGCTGAACTAAAATGGTCCCGCAAACAAAAACTGCTGTGAGTCGCCACCCTTAGATCTCCTTTGGGCTTTTGGAGCCTTGACCTGACTTTTAAAAAAATAACTGGGGAAAAAAGCTCGAAGCTGCTGAAAGAAGAAAAATAGATATTTGCAAAATTCTGCCTAAATATGTATTTTACCTGGTTACTGTGTGTGGCGGGGCGTGGTCTGCAGCGCCGCTGCAGGGGTGGCGGACGCACCTGAGCGGCACCCGCAATCACGCCTCGCCGCCTTTACGTCTGTGCTCTCTATGCTGTTGTGTTGGTGTGTCGGGCTGTGAGCTGCAAAGCTACAGCCGGCTGTGTGTGAAAAGTGGTCAATAAAGAGGCATGAAGCGCGTTCATGCAAACATCGTCGGGTCTGCCGTGGTATGTTTACAACGGGACTTCTGCTCCTGAACCTCTGCGCACAGCGTCTGCAGGTCGGGGCTGTCATCTTTACGCAGGACTGTAAGCTGTCGTCTGTGAGGCGTGAGCGGCGTTTGTTTTTAACACAGTTCACGGTGGAGCTGCTGACATAATGTGGATCAGAAGATCCATAATTGGCCTACCTGGGGTCGAAAGTCTCGATAAATGCTCGATAAATGCACGGCGTTTCGGGGGGTACACCGGCTTTCGCCAGTGTGACGCTTATTTTGAGCGATCAAAAAATAATAGAATATAATTAGATTTTTATATTTCAAAATCACAATAATCTTCCAATTTAGAACTACAAGTTAAAAAAGAACTAACATAAATAAAATACACTAAAGATAATTACTTAAAAAAAAAACTAATTTATTTTCCCAAACCTAAAAGGTCTAAAGAGCCGCAGGTTGCCGACCCCTGCCCTCGGACCTGCCGTCCACATATGTGGACATCACATTTTGGGTTGTTTAGACCAAATTCTGCTCTACAACAGCCTGACATCTACTTACGAGGACATAGTGCCACTGTTCTATCCACAGTTTAAACAAATATCCTCATAAAAAAAATTCTTTGTTTTTACATTCATCATGTTCAGGTCTTAATGAGTTAATGAGGAAAATATGCTCTAATTGAGAAGCTGCAGTAGAAGCACAAGAAAGGAACATCCTGACATTATGGGGCTGTGCCTGACAATATTAGGATAATCCTGCACCTGTGTCACTGCACGCTATTTCAAAATCCCAGAAAATTTCAGAATCCATTGAAACCACTTTAAGTCATCTATAGATTGTATGGTTTGTGCAGAGTTGTCAGAAAAATGCTTGAGAGATGAAAAGTAGAACATCAGAGTGCATCATGCAAACTCCACACAGAGGAGCACTTCCTGTGAGGAGACAAAGACGATCGCTGCACCACGGCGGCGTCCTGATAATAAAATGACTAAAAACACAGAATAAACCACGATGTGTCACATTCGATACAAAAAGTGACTCGACATTAACAGGAAATATGGAGAGACTGGGTACAACTCCTAATGAAGCTCCGCCATTATTTCATTGGAGCGTAAGCCGGACGACGTTAAACTGACCTCCTGCCACGCTGAAGCAGTGGGAACGTTTAAGATTCGGCATCAACTACAATCATTTTTAGTTAGATACCAACCAGCCTACTGTTACAGAACCTGAATGCAGAACTATGAAACCTTAAAGACGGAGTCGCGTTACAGGACATGATCGTGTTGAGGGCCTAAAACAGCAGCACAGCGATGAGATTAAAAACAAAATCCATTTAAGAGGATTTCAGGGCTTTTCATGAGTAAATGTGTAACTCAGGACATTTTATGCATCCAGAGTCCTCCAGACATTTCTGTTTTCCTTCTTGTAGAGAGATCCAGCAGTAGTAGTGAAGTCTGCTAACCATGCACATATCTTTACCCATGATGCATAGTTCCCATACATTTATTACTTATAGCAGCTCTCAGGAAGTGTATATGCAGCATGTTTTCACTGTCCTGTCTTCAAACAGTCACAGGGCTACAGTGTGACTGAGCATCACCAGCATCATCGTATTGTTGGTGGTTGGTACTGCTCCAGCCTGCAGGAGACCGCGAGCAGCAGCAGCAAGTTCCCACAGGAACTCTGAGGACGTCTCCTGGGCTCCGACTCGCCTCTGCTTCCTCTGCAAATCGATGAGAAGCACGAGTCCCGCCTCTAATCACGTTCTCCTTCAGCCAGGGCATCACAGAGCGCGTCCTTCCTGGCTGCATCACCGCGTGCTACGGAGGCTTCACAACCTCCTTCTCAAAGACCCGTAAACGTAGAACCTCGCCGCCCTCCCTCGTGGACAACATTTTCAACGTTCGCCTCGCCCCCGCCACCCTTCATGCTCCATTTTCAGCCTCCGGCCTTTGGGGAGGAGGTACTGAAGCCTTCGGGCAAGACTGCTGAACAGCTTCATCCACCAGACTGTCAGAAGGCTGAGCTCTGTCCATTACCCCCCCCCCTCTGACTGTAGCACGCTCTCACACAGGTTACTGCTGCTTTACTGCAACCACGTGCACCCCTGTCATACCTGCTGCATCTCACAAGCTGCTCTATTTATGTCATTATTTGGATGTCAACGTTTCGCTCTTTCTTTGTCTCCCTTGGGAGAAATTTGCTTT